CTCAAACTTGTAGGGGGGTCTTATAATTTTGGGAACCCCTGTATATAAAATGGCGGACAAAATTTTAAGGCACCTTTTGTTTTTTGATTTTCTCCATGAAAGACCACTCATGATCGGCATCCATATAGTGATTTCAATAGCTCTCGAAACAGGCTACAAACTCTAGAATAAAAAAGCAATTAAGCTCAGCTATTTTAATTTTTATGACAGAAATCGTTTTTCCTCAGCAGACAAAATTTTAAGGCAGTTTTAATATTTTATAAAATTTTTTCCTATAAAATAATCCTTGAAAACTTTTTTATATACCATTCGATACAGAATTGAACAGGCTATCGATTGGTAAAAATTACCTTTTGAAAATCATTAATTATCATTAACTAATATTAATTAAAAGTTATAGAAGATTTCCGCTTAAATTTCCGACTTTTAAGAACATTATTAGAAAGAGCATCGAAAACTGAACAAAATGGTATATAATTGTTATAGAAATAATCTATTTTAGTAGAGTTTTATACAGTTTTAGTAAATTTTACTACTACACTGTACCATTGTCATAATACAATGCAATGCACTAGCTCAACTTCAAAACTTAGAATTGAGTGTATTTTATACGCCACAATATGGGCTTTCGGATTAGGTCTCTCCGCCTTCTGCATGATTTACTATTCAACTAGCATAACTTTTTTAGTTTAATGTGTAGTTTTGTCTAAGAAAAATAGCTGGAAAACATCATTAAAACTGCTCTTAAAAACTAAAAAAAGTTATACTAGTTGAATAGTAAATCATGTAGAAGGCGGAGAGACCTAATTCGAAAGCCCATATTGTGGCGTATAAAATACACTCAATTCTAAGTTTTGAAGTTGAGCTAGTGCATTGCACCATATTATGACAATGGTACAGTGTAGTAGTAAAATTTACTAAAACTGTATAAAATTCTACTAAAATGGATTATTTCTATAACAATTATATACCATTTTGTTCAGTTTTCGATGCTCTTTCTAATAATGTTCTTAAAAGTCGGAAATTTAAGCGGAAATCTTCTATAACTTTTAATTAATATTAGTTAATGATAATTAATGATTTTCAAAAGGTAATTTTTACCAATTGATAGCCTGTTCAATTCTGTATCGAATGGGACTTAGGGGTATCCAAAAGTAGTGGCAACGATATTTTAGTATCACATATTAAGCTTGATAAAAGTTTCTTTTTACACAAGATGATAGAGAAAAAAATACTCTTTCTTTCTATGCTATTTGATTATACTTTAGTTGATATCATAACAACAAAGTCCTAATAAGACTAGTTTGCCTAACATGTGTAACCGTTACAGAAGTTCATATTGTTTTCAATATGCATTCTTTTCTTTGTTTTTCTTCTTTCCTTTATTCTATTCTCCTGTCTCTTCTGAGACTTTATCGTTTATTCATATTAGCATACCCGAAAATTGAAAATACATAAACAAGTTCAAGAAGTTTTTATTTCATTAAATGTTCAAAGTAATCGCCTTGATTATCTACATACAATTGCATTCTTTGAATCCATTTATCAAACGTTTTTCTACACTCTTCTTTATCCAAAGAATACATGAACTCGGTTATAGCGAGATGTAAAGATTCGGAATTAGTTTGATCAGTTAGATTTTGTTTGATTAAGTCGAACAACTAAAAATCATAGGGAAACAGATCTGGAGAATTGGGTGGTTGTGGTACTATGGTAACTACTTCTGAACGAAGATAATCGAGGACATCTTTGTGAACATGTGATCTTCCGTTATCATGATGAAGTTTGATGACATGAGTATCTGAGAGAGATCTTTATTTCTTGATTTCTTGGATAACGGGTTGCAAACAGTTTCTGATGTAATATTGGTAATCGATAGTTTGTCCATGTTTGATACGATGGATTAGAATAGGATTAGTTGATTTAAAGAAAATGCAAAATAAAGTTTTCCGAGCAAACTTATTTCGTCACACTATTGTAGGTGGAGGATCTTCTTTTGCCACCCAAGCAGCATTGGAAGCTTTTCGACCAGTTTGCTGATGGAAAAACCACAATTCATCACCTGTTACCACGTCACATAAACGTCATCATCCTTCTTCAAATCTTGACAGACTTTCTTTGCATATTCGAACTCATTCACTCCGTTGATAATCCGTTAGCTGTTTCGGTATGTAATGAGCAGTCATTTTTCTAAGTTCCAGATGATCAGATAATATTTTATGAACGATACCATAACGTAGACCAGTATGCTCTTGTAATTCTGCTATTGTAACATGAGGATTATCACTTACAATACTACGAATTTCTTCAATATTTTCAAGAGTACTCTCAATTACAGGGCTTCCGAATTGTTCTTCATCTTCAGTTTCTTCTCAACCTTCGCGAAAGCATTCAGCTTATCTTGCAGCTGTTCGATAAGAAGAAGTTTCATCACCAAAAACAGTACGTAGCTCGTTGTGAATAGTTCTTGCTTCAATATTAAGTGCAGTACGCACTTTAATGTAGAAACAAAAATTTTCTTTGTCCATTGAAAACAAAAATGAAGAGTGTTAAGATTCGATTTAACTTTACTTTTTTCACTTTCTATAGAATAGAATAGTACACGGCATGTCCACAAAAAGAGGCAAGTGTCTTTGTGTATATATGATAAATGATAAAGTCTCGGAAGATACAAGAGAATAGAATAAAGGAAAGAAGAAAAACAAAGAAACGAATGCATATTGGAGGCAATATAAACTTCTGTAGCGGTTACACATGTTAGGCAAACTAGTCTTATTAGAACTTTGCTGTTATGATGTCAACTAAAGTATAATCAAATAGCATAGAAAGAAAGAGTATTTTTTTCTCTATCATCCTATGTAAAAAGAAACTTTTATCAAGCTTAATATGTGGTAATAAAATATCGTTGCCACTACTTTTGGATACCCCTCAGTATATAAAAAAGTTTTCAAGGATTATTTTACAGGAAAAATTTTTATAAAATATTAAAACTGCCTTAAAATTTTGTCCGCTGGGGAAAAACGGTTTCTGTCATAAAAATTAAAATAGCTGAGCTTAATTACTTCTTTTATCTTAGAGTTTGTAGCCCGTTGCGAGAGCTATTGAAAACACTATTTGGATGTCGATCATGAGTGGTCTTTCATGGAGAAAATCGAAAAACAAAAGGTGCCTTAAAATTTTGTCCGCCAGTTTATGGAGTGATTTCATATGAGTAAGAAATAAAGAAGTATACGTCGAAGAAAAAAACTTATATTCTTGCTTGAAGCAGCATGCACATTATAAAATGGCAAAAAAATTGTATATCAACGCAGAATCGCTTTGGTAATAACTTTTGTAAATACGACCTTTTTGCATTAACATGCACGATTTAGCAAAATTCTAGTGATATTACGAGTAGACGCTAAGAATATTTTGCCATTTACTTGGGAGTTATGTATCTTGCCAAAATGCGCAGAATGTTGCATGCAACTATTTACAAGGACAAAAGTCATGCACAGTCTCGTATATTTTGTTTAAGAACTTAAAAACTTGTCTTTCCATGCATATGTTATCGTCTTGCATGTATGTACAACAATTGTAAATATTTGAAATAGCTTGCATCTTCATGCATAAGATACGATGACTCGAAAAATATTTTGCAAATAAACGAAAATTTCTGAAAATTTTCTACAAATATATGCGTTTTTTGAAACTTTCACATTTAACTGAGATTCGATACGATGATAGAACCATATCTGAAGATGAGATGGCATCTTTTACGTAGAAATTCAAACAATTGCCGCGATCGCCAGCTTTGGATATGGATCTTCTGTTAACACACACAGTCGCTGAAATATATTCAACTACCACAATAGGAAGATTACGGTTTTATTTGGCTAAAGTTTTGATAGTGAATCCATTCAGTATGGATGAAATATCAGGAAAAATGGGATAACTTTATGGTTTCCTTAGTTTTATTTTTTGTTGTTTAAATGAAATTTGTCAATCTGATTAGTGTGTATATTAATCGAACAATAATTGTTTGTAATGGAACTTTGAGGAAGTTGATAAATATTTGAGGAGTGAATAGAGAATCTACTAGTATTTTTGTTGATTTCGTAATTCTAATTCATCCTAATGATTGCAAGAGAGTTTTATATATGGCTCTTATTTATTTCGGGTGTTTAAGCAAGAATAGTTACATATTATCAAGTAAATAAACTTCTTATGCATTGAATTCTCGATTATAGAGACAAAAATCATCAGTGACACCAGGAAAAGAACTAGAAATGAAGTGAGAACAGGTAATACTTGGACAAATACGTACACGTGTTTCTGACAATTATTTACCATCAACAGTATCAACACATATTGAAAATGATTTAAAAACTTGATAACATTCAATATTGAACAGTGTGCATACCAATTAATATTAGCAAATGCTTATTCACAAGATCGATTAGCTAAAACAGCTATCAAATTGGTAGGTGAAAATAAATATTTGAAATTTATTGTTGATATATCAAATATTATTGTTATTGACATGAGCACGATATGGTATTACTATTCGTCAATCGATATTTACATTAGAATTTCTATATTGTTTAATAGTCATAGATAAAAAACAAATACACAACAAGTTTTAAGTATCGTTTTAACCAATTCATTTTTCTGAAAGAAAGGGTTATATCGCAGAAAATATCTTAAAACTTTGTCAGCTTAAGCCAATCAGAAACGAGCTTTTTTCTTTTAAGGTTTTTCGATGTTTTAATGAAGCTTTGGTATAGGTTCTCGGCTGCTAGGAATCCGAATCTGAGGTCAAATTTTCGATTTGAATATCCATTGGTCAGAAAATGGACCAATCAGAAACGACCTTTTTTATTTTAAGGTTTTTCGATGTTTTAATGAAACTTTGCTATAGGTTATCGAAGGCTAGGAATCCGAATTTGTTTTCCGTTTTTCGAAATTTTGAGTTTGATTCCCTTTTCTAAAAGAAAGGGCTATATGGCGGTTAAATATCCTTAAAGTTTGTTTGTCTGTCTGTCTGTCCAAGCCGATCAGAATCCAATATGCACTAAACCAATAAAAACTCAGCAATAATTCTTAGAAAAAGGGTGTGAGTATGGGTGTGGGCGTGAGTGTGGATTTGGGTGTGAGTGTGGATATGGGTTGTGGGTGTGGGTATTCTCTTCAATCATACCTACACTCACATTCATCCACCACGCCTACACCCACACCCTTGTTCAAAGTTCTACTGTCTACGTACCATTCATAGTTTTGAATTCATTAGAATTAAGACTAATCCTAGCAACGATCAACGTGCGCAGGAGAATGCGTTATATATATTTCGTGGATCGAAATGAAAAAAAACTAATAAGCGACCTTGTTGCAGTAACAACTGTACTTAAATAGTATATATATATATATTTTATCAAATGAATCATATAATCCGAAGAACGTTTATTCAGGGTTACCATGATGAGACGTGTTATATAATTTATGTGTTCTTCTGTCAAACGACAAATATAACTTCGATTGAACAACACATATTTACTTATCTACATTGATAAATAGATTATGGCTGCAAAATATCATGACTCTTTAGTTTCGCAATATTTTATTGCTTCAATGAATTATTCACCTTTTTCCTATGATTCTTAGTCGTTAAATAAAAAAAAATCATGAACTATTTTCGTACAAATTTTCAAAACATTTGAGAACTTCTTTAAATATAAAATTGTACGTTTTTTCTGTTTGAAATAGATCAGAGAATCCAAAAAATGACACTCGGAAAATGAAATATTGAACCTCTATCATAAATGAGAAAGCTATGGGTTTTCTACTTGTGCAATCTGAATGCCACTAAATCAGTGAACTTCACAATTGATTTTTGTCTTTTAAACCGTCATTTTGAAACTTTGAATACATGTTACCCTCATTCATCAACAAGTCCATCATATAAATCCATCGTTATGTCTTATTGTATCACTGCATCGATCTGAAGGTAGTAATATCATCACTTGATAATTCCGAATAGATGCTTTTTTTTCGTTAAAACTAAACATACTGTAAAGCGATTCATGTCCGTGCTGTTAATAGAGATTGAAGTCATATCTGGCAAGTGATAAGTCAGTGGTTCTGATGTTCGTCCTTGTTGATCACTAATGTTCAAAATTATTCGTCAAATACTTGGATATAGACAGCATGTACTGTTTACATTGATGGCTATCGTCAAATGTTTACACCGTTGATTTATGTGTGAAGTTAGTTTTCAACATTAATCATATATTTATTGCCTATGAATCGAAATATCTATTAGTTACACAAGAGAGAACGTTTTCAGACTTTTGTCTCCTCGTACAGATATTGTAGCTATTATTGTTGCGCGCATATTTGTTATCGGCTAGTTTTATTGCTTGTTTATAGATGGCAACAACACCTACACATTGCCTGAGTGAATTGCGATTCTTTGATTCAAATCTTGCTTTCATCTACATATTTGCCAGGAGGTAATATTACATATGAGTTGATCGCGTCAACAATATGATTACATTTGATCAAGTTTCATAAAAATGAGAAAGAAATGACGCAGTATTTTGTATATAAACCAAGACGTGTTTTGCGTCCTCCTATGCTGATAATTTGAAGAAATGATAACAAATAATAATGTTGCTGTCAGAGGTTAGTTGCTTCAGTAATCTGCAAAGCAAATATTTATTTGTGAATATTTTCTTTATTCCATGGGAAAGACGGGTACAGAAGAAAAAATCTAAAGATGAAAATGATTTTTATATTGTTTGAACTACTATCACTTTGTCGAATTGATTGATTCACATATCAATACTCGTTCGAATTTATGCTATCCGATCCCATGTATGATTCAACAGGTTGATTTATACCATTTTGAAAACAGTTTATTGCATAGATACTTAAGCCATTACAATTCAAAGTACGTCTTGAGAAAAGTCATGACTCTGTTTTCTTTTGTCAAAATAGAATTGATCACGGCAACCATCTTCATTTGCAAAATTTCCTTGAACTCAGTCCATCATTTATTTGACTGATGAAGACATTAGGAGAGAGAGGAGTGTATGTGTGACAATATGAGAAAAAAAGTTTGCCTAGGGTGAGTGTATGTATGGTCTACACCCTGATGACGTCAATCGTCAAGAACGTGCATGATAAAACTCTTTTTTTTCTCTATTTTATTACTTCACATAGAAAGATGACGTCTGTTGATTAATATTCTTTTACACTGAGGCTCGATTTCATTCATTCGATAGCAATATATACATGCTTTTGTATGTCGTTTTCTTCCTTTCTCTCTCTTTTATACTTTTTTCGGTTATTATGTAAAAGACTGTGACATGTTTATCTTCATTTCAGTTTATTTCCTTTTTAAGATTCTGTGAACCATTTTTTTTTATTAAAAAAAAAGAAGAAAATTATGGGTTTTGAAAAACGATTTCCAAAATGGATCACAGCAATTTTAGCTTTAGCTCAAGTTGTTCTAACTGCAGCCATTATTGGTCTAGAATTTGGTTCTTTTTATTATGATGTCGCACATGGTACTATTTGGGCTGGCTTTTGGGCTAGTCTAGTATTTATCAAAACATTTTTAATGATGTTTTGTATCAGTAAGTACCATTGAAAATTTTCATTTCACTATATTACAATTCTCTTCCATTCATTTAGCCTGTTGTTGTCGAGGTCGATGTTGTGCTACTTACATCTTAATACTCAATAGTATGTGAATATTATTTTGTCTACATATATATATATATATATATATATATATATATATATTATGATTTAATTTATTTTATTTTTAGTATTCAGTGGAGCATTGGCTTGTGTGATCATTTACTTTGATGCATACTTTATAGGCAATCTTTGTAAATGTTATTTAGGTGAAAATTTATGTTGTAGTCTACGTGGTATCAGTACTTTCAATTCGAACTATGGTAATGTTGTGAAAGATTGTATACCGATTTCTTCAAATGGAGTGCAAACAGTGATTGATTCATGTCATCTTTCTCCTCCAACGAGTAAATTGAGTTTTCTAAAAGCACAATTAGGTTGTGCCATTGGTATGCTAGCTGTTTGTGGTCTCTATGTTGTTCTCTATTTATTTGCCTGTTTTGGTATTTGTTTTGGTCATGGTTAAGCAAATTTTGAAAAAACAAATGAAATGAAAATTTAACTATATCTTCAATTCTTCAGTTCTAATAAATACTTATTAAAATATTTTAAAAACAGAACAAAGTAAAAACATTAGCTTGTATCTTCGTCTTCTTTTTTTCTTGTAAAATAATTTATTTCTTCTGCTAGCGACATGTATCACATGAATATATTAATCTCAAAGTTGAATGTTTTCGGCTTTCTTTCACAAAAACTATATTTGAGTGCTGCAAATCTTCATATCCTAATAACTACGAAACAAATGTAAAAAGAACTAGGAGATCACTATTCATTCCAATGTAGTCTTTCTCCAAACATACCGAAGATTGAAACGTGAAGTTCATTCTTTCGTTTGCAAACTTTAGCTTTGTCAATTCTTGGAAGTTTCTCAGTAGTAAAATCGAATTTGTTCAGATTGAACTTGCTAGTCAAGCAAAATGGTTCCATTCATCATCAATTAAATAAAACGATTAATCAAACTGATAATATCGATCGAAAGCAAATCATATTTTACACCAATTTTCTCAGCAAATGACTATGACCAAGAAATTGGTTTCGTCAAATGCTTAACCTTATCGAAACAATAATATACAATTGCACCAATCTGATTGTCGCCATTTCATCCAATACAAAGAGGATGTAGATAGAAAGAAAAACTTCAACTAGACGAGTTATGAAAGAGTTTGAGTGTAGCTGAGCCAAAGATTCGCTCTCACACGCCCGTGTACGTCCCGATAATTAATGCGAAAAAAGAAGATATTGCCATTCTATCTGTCTGCAAAATTCAATGTTATTATTTTTTGTCAAAGGGACAAAATAAATGAAGTCATTTTTTTTTCTCATGAAGTAGATATATAATTAAAATAATCAAAGCAAGAGGGCTTGCAATGAAGAAAAATTGATCTTACATTTTTCTTTTTTTTTAAATATTTTTGAGAATGAAGAATTTTCGGCTCTTTTCTCATCTAACATTCATATTTCTAGTCTTTGAAGACTACTTTATCAATGTCTTAATATGAGGATTACAATGAAAAAGGAAATAAACAAATCGAAAAGGCAGAAGCTTCATCATTGACGTTCATTCTTCGCATCAATTAACAGGTACCAAAAGAAAGTGTCTAGTACTAGATGTTCGCTATTCTTCTTTATTATGGCCTAAACACAATAGCCGATCTTGACAATATATTTTGAAGTTGAGACCAACTATGTCATTGATCTACGATTCAGACGCAGGGTACGATTAAATAAAGAGTTTGTCTTTAATACATACGTTTATTTTTGTTTCAGATGTTATCTATCAATGTTTATTCCTTTGTTCTCTTCACATCATAAGCATTTCACATTGTAATGGAGAGATACTATTAGCAAAATTTCCTTGATTTCCGAAAGATTTAACAATTTATGATAGACTTCTTCTAGAGATCTTCACAACATCGTTGTAGCATAATTGAAATCCATTAGAAAGAACTTTTCTCAATTTGTTCTTACACTCACGGCTACGAAAATTGAGTTTTTCATATGCTGCTCAAAATCTGTTTTATAATTCGGAAACAGTTTGAAGGTTTATTACTTATTCTATCTTTTTTGATAAAAAAAGACACGATTCTGTTCTGCACTGGATATGATATCCTATGAAATAATACTCAAGCTTTGCACACCTCGTATCAATGATAAAATCCAAATACAAGGTAAAATAACATTCGTGTCTGATTATCTACTGTCTGTTGCCGCCAAAATTCTCATTACGCCACTATTAAAAGTTGAAAGTATAACTACACTTGTCACGTACAACTTCGCCGAATCTCTCTGTTTTTCATTCTAAACCGTCTCAATGAATTTTCTCCAAAAGTTCAACTAATTAGCTATTAAAACAAATTGACTTATCTCGATGCGTATTTCTTCACCGATAAAAACTCGAAAAAACAGAAATGATAAAAGATTATGCAGATTAGCAAGTCAAAAATCTAATTTTAAAAGTCGATCTTTTTTCATATTTTCGGACTCAACCACTAGAGTTACTGTTTTAATTTATATCACAAGGTCAGATAATGTAAGTTGAAAACACTCTCTTAATGCTAAGGATGAAGTAAGTGAGATCGTTACGCACGGCAAGGACAAGCATGAAATATAAAAAGTTGGATGACAATGATGATAAAAGTGACCATAACAGGTAAGATAAAATCCTTTCTTTTACGCTCTCAACACTTTCACACTTGCATTTATTTTTAAGCAGAGAGTGGGTTGCTTTCTTAAGAAAATTTTATCGTAAAAAGACGAAATGCATCATCAACAGCACACCGCCTTACCAATGAATATTTTGTACTGCTTCGTCCTACGGTGAACAGGAGAAGTGTTATTCGCCGATTTGTGGACTCTGGTCCTTAATAATCTACAAAATTTGTAGGATCTAAAGACTCTGGAAATTTTTTTTAAGAGCATCAATGAAATGACTCTATGGTTCTATCTTTTTTTTTCTTTCCGACTTCTGATCATATGTGATGAAAGTATAATTACTCTGAAAAGTATCAGAGTGACTTTCTAATTTTGAATAGCGAAAGAAATATTCTGTTTTAGAAAATCTTCTGGAAAGCTTTGTATTCTTGAAGATTCATTATATTTAATTGGCTACGAAGAAACGAACAGCATTTTAAAAATAAGAATATTGAGGCAGAACTTGACGGCCCCAGCTCATCAACATGTAAAAATCCAAACTAATTTGATAGCGAAAAAAGAAAAATTACGTCAGAAGTTTCTTCAAGATTTTTCAAAATCAATTCATTAGATTGGAGTATTCATAGAGTTTTTAAAAAACTCAACATATTGAACGAGTCGCATTAGTTGATCCACTAGCAGATAGTACATTGCTTCCAGACAAGTTACAAAAACAGCTTCTTACAAAAGATTAAAGCGAAGCTACCACCAAGGCCCATTAGAATTCAATAATTTTCATAATCATAAAAAAAGCTCCAACTGCAAAACCAAAAACACCTATTGATGAAATCTATCCCATACCATTAGTTTTACGGATGCATCTACAACTATCACTTCATCGCTTTTCCGAAGCATGTATATTATATCAATTCATGAAGCATTTGATCTTCTATGAGAAGTCTAAATCGTTCTCTTTCGGCAAACAAATGCATAGGAGCCGTAAATGATTTTAGGCGATAGTGTACATGTTATTCTGAGTTTTGTTGACAGTTTTAGCACGTTGTGGGCATTAGAGATCATTGATCAAGAGTGAACGAGGTGGCCGATGGATAGTCCACATGATTCAGCATTGATTGAAGTATAATTCATGCCCCGGTAATAGATAGGAGTTTTAGGAATGCTTATATCATGGATTTGATTATGGTGAATGTGTCTGCTGTTTCTGTGTTTCACAATGGCGGCGAGAAGCACTTGACAACGATCTCAGTGCTTTGATCGTCATTGTGCGCCCTCTACGGAGCTTATTTGTTACCTAGCATAAAGTATCCAATTGAATCGTCATCACGATCCTGGTGATGCAACATGTGTTGTGGTAGCTTCACATTGTTTTTAAGGAGTCCGTCTGCTTTATCATTTCGGTTGGGAACGATAGGAAACACTATCCCCACTCATCTAATCCATTTAGATTTACGTACTTTCGGTACGTCCTTTTCGATTGTGTCAAAACATAACAGTAGGATAGACTTTACTATATACACGGAGACGAGTATGGGTTACAGCTCTTAGAACAGCGCTTCGCACCCCCACACTGCGATGCAGATATAAAAGGCTAGTTATGCAAGCACTTTTTTCAATTTTTGAGTAATTGATTTCAACTTGCAAGTTTGCCATATATCATAGATTCAGACGTATTGATTGTACATATAGAAAAGGGCGTACAGATTTGGGCATATAGAAAAGAAAATGTCATATTAAATCTATGATTTTATTTCAGATCTAGCTGTATTTTGGGTTTCTCTCAAAAGAAGCTTGTTATTTTTTTTTATCAACGTTTTCCAAAGAAATCATACCATGGATTATATGTTTTGAAGTTTACCCTGGTGTAACTATTTTGAAAATCATTACAAAAGCACGACCATTGAAAACGAAGTGCATCACTGACCGTAACAAACTTATTAAAAGCAACTGAAGACTCCCAACTTACAGAAACAGCATATTAAAATACACACGACTTACGTTGTCAAATTTTCCACGTACAACAACGCCTTATTGGTTTCATTCAAGAGAATCAATTCGATCGGCAGAAAGGTAATAAATCGAAATTCTACAATTCACAACAAACATCGAGTATTGAAAAAAAAGGAAACTTGAAAAATAATAATATACCCAATTTGTTCCTGAAATAATCACGAACAAAACAACAAATAGAAGGATACGAAAAATATTTTGATACAATGAATAATCAGCGAATAGGTGCAGAACAGCTACATAGTGTTACAGTCGATGACTCGATACTCCCAACGGATAACTGCTCTCAATTTGAATCGTGTGAATCGTTAAAAAAACAGTTACGAGACGGTTTGCACAAACTTGAAATCAGTGACGAGAAAGAGTTGGGAGAAGAGATAAGGGAAAGGAAACAAGAACTTCAGATTCTAGAAAATAAAGGACAACACGCGATTGCAGAGAAACAACGAAATTCTTTGTTACCATTAGAAGAACTTCAAGTATTAGCAAATAAAATTAGAGCTTTACAACCTTTTCATCCAAGTATGACATATAAGAATTTTCATAGCCAGGAAGTAGATGATCCCCTGAACGATGATGGAATTGTCAGTGGACAATGGGAAGAAGGTACGATACCCAAAGAAAGCGTACGAAACTTATACAACGACTTCTCTCTCATGCCATCATGTTCAGAGAAATCTCTTATTAGTCTACTGTATTATGTTTCTCTGAAACTAATTGGTAATGCAGCAGTTTCTATTAATAATATCGTAATACCTGATCAAATAGAGATTGAAATAGAAAAAGAATTTAAATCTTTGGACGAATGGTTAAAGATTGAAGAACTTGAGTCCTCACAGACTCAAGATCTGATGGGGACGGTATTGATAAATATAAAAGATCAAAAATGGAAATCTGCCTTTTGTATATTGGAAAGAATTTTGAAGCTGATTAGACCGTTAAATATACAAGACTTATTTAGACTTTTAAAGAAAGTTGACGATGCAGCACAACAGATAAAGAGAAAAGACATTATTCTCTTCCTAGGAGGAACTGGAGCAGGCAAATCAACTACAATTCATTTTCTTGCAGGCTCTAAATTAATGCAAACAAAAGTAAAAGGATTGAATCATATTCGTCCTGTCGAAATAAGAAATCCAGATCTCAAAAAAATAACTACTACACCATTTGCTCGATCTGAAACTCGATGCATCACACCTGTGTCGGTAAATTTTAAAGATGTTGGTGGTCATGACGATTATATTTTCGTGCTATGTGATAGTCCAGGATTCGAAGATACTAGCGGGCCCGAAGTAGATATCGCAAATTGCGTCAGCATTGTTAAAGCAATAAAAGGATGTAAAAGTGTCAAACTTGTTGTCATACTCAGTTATAAGAGCATAGGCGATAGGCTAGGTGGTTTAAAAAATCTAACTCATACATTAGGTGGTCTAGTTCTCGATATTAAGGATCATCTCAAAGCTATCTCCTATCTATTTTCGAAGTTTCCTGCTAACGAAAGAGATACAATTGGTCCATTATTAGTTGACGCAGAAAGACATATGAATGAAGAAGAAAAATCAGACAAAAACTTCATGCTTTTGTTTAACGATATGCTAAACAAAACAAGAAAAAGACCACTAGTTTTAGATCCAATTAATGATGATCCCGTAAAGTTTCTTCGTCAATTTCGAGAATCTGTTGCTATTAATTATCCAGATGAAGTTTTTCAATTTTCTATTACAGAAAAGTCACGAGCTATTCTACGTGAACAAATAAGCAGACATCGGTTCAGTATTTTATCTGCAACTGATCGTTCCGAGTATTTATTAGTTAAATATAAACTTGATCAATTGAAACATTTAAATGATTTAATTGATCAAGAGTATATCAAACAGATTTATAATGATTGTATTCGATATATAATTAAACATCTCTCGGAAGAGTATGAAAAAGGTGTTTCATATATGAATCGTTGTCTAATGAATCAAACAATTTTGAGTAATGAAGATATTTGTCAGTATCAATCATATATTGATCATGCTAAGTTAGCAGATGAATTAAGAGAATCTCATTTAAGAAACGAAGTCGTTCATAGTACTGCATTTATACAATATGTAAATCAACAAATAGAAATAATGTTTATAGAACTAAAAGAAAAAGAAATCAATGATCCATTATTAAGAATAATTCTAGACAAAATAAAACTTATTTCAAATTCGATTTCAGATATTGATCAAGAGAAATATAAAAATATTTGTCAAATTCTCGTTGAAAAACTCGAATTAGTAATTACTTCTTTTAAAAGTTCAGTGTTGTCTAATCAGTTTCATCAATGTATTAGTGATATTACAAAATTATATGATGCATTAACTATTTTACAAGATCATTTAGATTATGAAGATATGAAAATAAAATATGTTCAAATGAAAGAATATTTTCTTAAATATTTAAATGATTCTGTAAGAAAATTAAATCCTTTGTTTAATCAAGAAAAATTACATAAAAATAATATAGATAGTTTAAATAATTGTGTTTGTATGTTAGAACTTGTTAAGAACACATTTGCTTTTCAACTACACATTTCGAAAGAAACAATCGATGATATTTATGAAAATTTTTTATTGAAAATTTTAAATTATTTCGAAGAAATTATTAAAAAAATAAATATTGAACTAAAACATGAAAATATATTTCATATATTAGAACAATTCTTAATTGAATTAGATTCAATTAGAATAATTTCTATTATTGAATTTAAAACAACTCGATCTTACTATAGTATATTAGGAAAAATAATTGAATATTTACATCAATCAAAAAGAGATGTTGAACAATTATTAACAGATTTATTTCGACAAGAAGAAAAAGTTAATTATGATAAACTCATAAAATGTCTTCTGAGTTTAAAAAATACTCAATGGATAGAAAAATATCGAACTGGAGTATATTCAGATGTTATGAGTGATATTGAAGAAAAATTTATTGAACATATCAAACAAATGAAAATATCTCTCATGGAAATGACTTTAGATCTTGATAGTTATAATAAAATCGATTTAGCATATAAAATAGTATTGAAAATAAATGAAATAAAAGATTTTGAAAAAATTTTTATCGATATAAATCAATATTTAGTTGAAATTAATTCTTTATTTGAAAATATGATAAATAATGTTTGTATTATTATTAAAGATTCATTTAATATAGAAAAATTCAAAGAACAAGAATATAAAAGTTTCGATTTTAATAGAGCTGAAAAAGCATTTCATTATTTGAATACTTGTAAAAAAATTCGAATTTCATTTAAAAATAATTATATATTTGTATTAAATAGTTTAGAAGAATATATCAGATACTATAGTAATTTTATTCGAAATGAAATGGAAAGTTGTTTTGAAAATATCAAACAATTTCAAAACACAAATAATGAAGAGCTATTAGACAAAGTTCGTATACTATCAACACGTCTTCAAGAAATTCATGAAATTAAAATAACATATTCGTATGTTTTTTCTTGTTTTTTCAATCGAAAAATTTTTGAACAATGGCAACAAGAATTATCGAATTATCAAACTGAGTTAATAGATGAAATGGAAAAATTATGTATTATGGATCAAACTTCGATTTTAAAGAATAAACTATTAATTGTAAGAGCATTAAGTAGATTAGATAGTTTTTTAGAAGGAGAAAAATATATTGATATTTATTTTAAATATCAAAATGAATTTCTTTCTAAAATGAATGATACATCTAAAAAAGTTCGAGATGCTATTCAAAAATATGATTATGAACAAGTTACTTATGAATTGACAAAATTTAAATTATTAGGTGATATAGGAGAACATCTTTTTAAACAAGCTAAACAAGCACTTAACCGAAGCTTAGTTCTCTTCATAGAAGAAACCAACGATCAAGTGATAATGCTTGGAACTAATCTAGAAATAGAACGAATAAAATTAATAATAGAAAATTTAAATCGAATACAAAAGGCAAAACAATTTGTATTCCAATATCTTGATACGCCAGATGAACTAGATAAATGTATAACAGATATTAAAATAATGATTGAAGAACGATTAAAACGTTTCTTAGAAAGAGTTAAAGTATTACTCATTAATATCAACAATTTCTATGAAGTCGAACAAAAAATGGAATATATAAATTCAGTACGTAATCTTTTAGGTAGTTATTGTACAAAAGTGATTTTTGATGAGATTGAAACAATACAAGAACGTCAAGAGCATGTTATATCAGTTGAAGTAGTTCAAAAATATTCAGATATGAATATTGATATCTATGTTTTAAATCCACCAATAGATATTTTTGAAAAATTTGCAGCAGTTAAGAACATAAATCCGATATATAATCAAACTTTAAATAAAATAAAAGAAAATATTGTTAGTAAATTTAGAAAAGAATTAGAACTAGCAAAATTATTAATACCTCCAAATCCGAAAAATATTCATATAAGAAAATTTGAATGTGCTATTAAATATTTACCAGAAGACATGAGAAATATTCTTGAATTAGAACTAAAATATTGTAAAGATGATATTAATTTTATGATACAACAACAACAAAATCATAATGAATTTCAAAATTTGATAAGAAGTGAAGATTTAAAACCTATCAAAAATCTTCAACAATATCAAAATTCACAAAGTATACAATCTTTAATTAGTCAGACTCGAGAACTTGTTTTAACACAAGTACAAGAAATAACCGATAAAATAGATCAACATGTCGAACAAGATGATATCAATGAAGCATTAATAGTTGTAAAAATTCTATATGAATATAAAAATGAATTAGAAACTATTGTTACATATGTTAGACAACCATATTTAATAGTACAAACTCAAATAAAAATGAAATTTGAGAATGCATATCTTTATTTTATGAATCAATTTTTACAAAATAATACATCTGAGATAACTAATGAAATAGTTGAAACTATAGAGAAAAGTTTTCTATATTTAATCGAATTTATCAAATTCAAAAATAAATTAAAAGATCAATCTATTTTAACTCATATATTTCCAGAAGATTTCAATGAAAAATTAATCGTATTAAATAGAAAAACTACAGATTATTTTATAGAACTTCAGAAAACCTATGAAGATGGTTTGAAAAACATCGATATTTCATCTCTGAAAGAATTATTAGATTTTATGCATAAGTGGAATTTATTATTTATGAAAATGAAAAATATTGTTCGAATACATAATATTAATGATATTGTAGTAAATAGTATGATGAAAGCAATTACAGATTTGACAATTTATTCACATATGTTACATAATGTATCTCAAAAAATTCAAGAATTAGAAGATGAATTCATTTATCAACAACTTATTAATAAAGAGACTATAGAATTTTCTCAACAACGAGATAAATTTTATAGAAAACTCAATGATAAATTTTTCATTCTAGATAAAACTAAATTACTTAGTAAATATGAATTAAATATTGATGTAAATCTAGTTAAACAAGAATGTTTGAAATCATTAGAAATAAAAATTACAAAAATTTTTAATAGTACACAGAAATTTTTAAGAAAATTTTCCGAAGATTCTCATTTAACGAAACAAGATTATAAGAATTTTAATTTATACTATTGTAATTTATTATCATTTCGACGAGAAATGAAAGAAATAGATTTTAATATAAATGAACAAATTGATAAAATTGAAAAAATAATTTTCGATAAAATTTATACATGGACATATATAATTGAATTAGATTCATCAATTTCAAATATTTCTCTAAGTTTAATTAATATGAAACGTATTTCAAATAATATTTCATTATTTAAATTTAAAATAAATCGAATTCTTGAACAAGTATTAAATCATTATAAAAATAGAACAAAAGGCACTATGAATTTTTCAAAATTAAGTGCTATTTTAAATCAAGATGTAAATGGTATAGGTCAAAGTATTGTTACCGAAAATAAAACATTTCAAGGTTACATATTATCATTGTTTAATGAAAAAACTCAAACATACGATATTGATTATGTATTAAAAAATTTGAAAGGTGATTCTATTGATATAGATCAATTAACAAAACGATATCGAGAATTTCAAAATATCTATGATGATTTAATTAAAAACTATCTTAGAATTAATATCGAACTAGAAATATTAATTGCCAATACGAAATCAATTGCTAGAAATATTAAACAAACATCAAACATTATCAAATGGGATTCAAATGTAAGAGATAGAATTCCAAAGTTATTAGCATTTATTTTTGCTTTATGGACACTTCAAAATGCAAATTATTATTTTCAAGCTGGAGATGTAACAAATAAAAATAATTATCTTCTTAAGCCTCATGCAGCTCAAATAGTTTCAATATTACGTATGCTTGGTATAGGTGATAATAAAGAAGAATTAAGAAATAATTTAGTACAAATAGGAACTGGCGAGGGAAAATCTATAATATTAGGAGCCATAGCTACAATATTTGCATTGCTTGGTTTCGATGTAAGTTGTGTATGTTATAGTGAATATTTAAGTGAAAAAGATTACATAAAATTTTTACCAATATTCGATTCATTAGGTTTACTCCAATATATTCACTATGGTACCTTTAATAAACTTTATGAAGATATAAATGGTAATATTCGTCAAATAGTAGAACAATTTATATCAATTGGTTCTAATAATACTATACGAAATAATCAACATGATGAACGTACTAAAATATTACTGATTGATGAAGTTGATATTTTCTTTAGTCAAGATTTTTTTGGTAATGTCTATATACCATCAGTTAGTTTGCGAGATCCTACTATTACATCACTAATCAATTTTATTTGGTCACAAAGAAAATCAAATTTAAAACTCAATCAAGTAGAAACTACAGTTGAATATAAAGCTTGTTGCAATAGATTTCCAATTTGGGAAAAATTGATTCGAGAAGCGGTTAAAGATATCATTTATGATATGTACAATTTTGAATCCCATAATTATATTGTTAAAGAGGATAAAATTGGATATATCGAACAGGATAATATTGTATATAATGTTGTTTATGGTTATAAAACTTTATTTGCATATTATTATGAGCATGAAAAAGGTAAAATAACTAGCAAAAGTTTAGAAGAAAAAATAAGTTTAAGAATAAAATGTGGTAATTTTTTATATGCTCAGATACCACTTCAATTTACATACATAATGGGTGTTACAGGAACATTAAAAACTCTAAGTGATTCTGAAAAACAAATTATACATGATGCGTATTATATCAAAAAAAATACATATATTCCTTCGATGTTTGGTAGAAAGAATCTTATGTTTAGAGTAAAAGATGATATCATAATTGAAAATAGTATTGATTATTTTAATGCCATTAGAAAAGAAATCGATGATAGATTAATAGGAAAATCATCAGAAAAACGTGCTGTATTAGTCTTTTTTGAATCAAAACAAAGATTAAAAGAATTTTATGAGTCAAAAGCTTTAGAAACAATAAAACAATCAGTTGCTTATTTAACAGAAGAATCATCTTCAGAAGAAAAAGAAATTATAATTAAACGTGCCACTTCATCGGGTCAAATAACTTTATTCACTAGAATTTTCGGTAGAGGAACCGATTTCATATGTTATGATCCAAGTGCTACTGCAAATGGTGGCACTCATGTCATTCAGACATTCCTTTCGGAAGAGTGGTCAGAAGAACAACAGATCAAAAATAGAACTGCGAGACAAGGTGATTCTGGATCTTATAGTATGGTGTTACTTGATTGTGATTTGGAGAAATTTCTCATTCAGAAGGAGGATATTGAAAATGTTAAAAAAGGTAGACAAATACAAGTTTGTTTCTCGGAGACGTCTACTTCGACAAAATCCTATGATACAGTGTACGATCTTCTTCATGATAAACGTACTGCTTTATTCAAAACACAGTATAAAGTCCATACAATATTTATTCGACAAATGGAAGAAAGATGTGTGGCTACGAAAAAATTTCTCTCAAGTCTTAATTCTGGAGATGTCGATTCTGTTAGAACATTTTTAGAAAAAGAAAATAAAGGAACGAATACTATTTCACATCAGTCATGAATAGTTTGCTTAATAGATGCTACAGATTCAATGTCCCATTTTTTATATAATTGTAAAAATACATTGGAAACTATGTTCGAGCGTACTACAGCAATTCTGAGTGCGAACAATATCAGTAAAAATTCATTACAAATTCAATTTGTTGCATATCGAAACTATAATAGTACAGAAGATAAGATTCTTCAAAGTTCTCGTTGGGAAAGCAAAGGTGCTAATTTACGTGCATTCATGAATACTATCAATAGTGAAGGAGATTGGGGTAATGAAGCTATTGAAATTGGTCTATGGCATATTAATAGAGAAAATGAGAGAGAAGATATCACACAAGTTATTTTGATTGGTGATGCACCACCAAATACAAAATCTGAAGTAAAACAGAAGAGAAATCGTCGCGGAGAAGCATATTGGAAGCAAACAAAATTTGCACAGGCAACTTATTATGAAGATGAATTAGCGAAGTTAATATCGAAAAGTATTCCAGTACATACTTTTTTTGTCGACAATCGTGCAGAAGTCATATTTAAAGAAATTGCTCAGCGAACAGGAGGAAAATGTGAACGATTAGATATAAATTCTCCATTAGGTGCAGAAATGTTGACAAAGTTAGTAACAGAACCGATTCTAAATGTTCATAGAAATAAAAAAGGGAATACTCTTATTGAAACATATCAGTACAAGTTTGAAAAGTCCTATGCATAGATCAGTCGTCGTTTACAACAATATAGTTATATGCAACACTCACCTATGTTACTACTAAATAGAATTCTATTGGGCTTTATTACATGTAATCTAACATTAACAAAGCTCGTATGTTCATTTGTTGTTTTGTTTCATCTTGGAATTGTTCTTTTTTCTTTTAGCTTTGATATATATATATATATGTATATTGTTTTGTCCTTTATAATTTATATGAAGTTGTGTGTTTCTTTTTTTTATATCAAGCCACATTCCTTTGTAATTTTTTTTTTGTTTGATAATCTTATGATGAAATTATAGTACATGTCCTATGCTACAATATGTAAGCATCTTCTCTATACATTTACTTTTTTTTCTGTTCAAATATACCTTACAACCACAAAAAAAAAATCTATTCGAAACATCAAGCGATATTTCTTCTTCTTCAATTATAGAAACTTTCTGCAAGTGAATGCAACAATTATAATGATTGATTTTTCTTGTCATCAATATATTTTTGTTTCTCAAAACAAACGACAGTAAGAAAAAAATATATTTATAAACATGTCTAGTCTCTCATTAACAACTACGAGTGATATTCATTTTAACAATTAAGCTGATAATTGATGGTAATCGATGATACCCACTGATCTTCGAAATGCTTTTTTTTTCTCATCGGAGTTACTTTTGATATCATGAATAATGGTTTTTTTTGAATCCAACCAATTCCATCACTGGTAACTGTTAAAGTATATTAAAAATTATATTGTGAGCCAAACACATTTGATTTTGGTAATATAAACAGTAGCTAAATGAACTCTTTTGATGTTCTTGTTAGTACTCTGCAGCTGAGTTGAGTACCCAGCTCAGAGAATATATGAGAAGAAAAATGAAAATGTATACTTAAGGAAATTGATTGGATTTTAGAAGCAGAAAAACATCAAATGAATCGTGAATCACTTGTTTTTTTTTGTGAAATTTGAGATGCTCTTGTTGTTTTTCTTGCTGTATATAGAAAAAAACTAAATAGTTAGTCCGCTTGCGAAAAGTAATACTCGTCTAGATCACCCAAAAAAAAAATATATAAATGAGTTATAGAAAAATGTAATTTCCAAAAAAAAAATCGAACTATATTCCATTGTTTAGTTTAGTTTTCATTCATATGAATTAGAAAAAAATCAAAAAAAGAACCAAATTAAATAAAATAGTTATCATATTCGAAAATATTATTAGTGTATTACTAGATACTTGATTAATTTGCTTATATAATTTAATCATATAAATAGCTGATGTATAATTAATATTTGATATATTAAAATTATATTTAAAATTTTGTTCATTATTATGTATATAAAATCTTGCTTGATTATTAACAAATAAATTTCGAGTTATATTAGGCATTTCAATATAAAGTAAACTTCGAAATTCACGATTTGTAACTAAATAAATATCAATTCGAATATTTATTGATGGATTTCTACGTTGATCATCAATTGTACAATGTATATAATTAATTGTTCGAAAAAAACCATCATTTATAAAATATTCTGCAATACGCTTATCCATTTCAGCTAATTCAGGTATAAATGTATTGGAACCATTTGTTAATGGTGAAATAATTGGTGAACGACATATATGTCTAATACGATCAGATATTGAATTATTTAGATTAATACTCTGATGACGATGATCAAGAAATAAATGAAATTCAGTCCATATTTTATTTAGATTACTTTTATTACCATAAGATAATTCTAAAGACCATTCATTCATTCGAGTACGAAAAATAATATGTTCATAACGTTGTTGATTAAAAAAAA